CAACTCGCGTCGAATCTATCCAAAATCAGAATCATGACGTCAAATTATGCTAAGGGAACGAAACCCATGCGAAAATAATCAAATTACAACACAAATCCCGAAATTAACCAAACACGACCCCCGGGCCCACATCTCGGAATCCGATAAAAATTACATCAATAAACTCCTTATCCTCCCACGAGTCCATACATACCAAGAATACCAAAATCCGACAACAAATGACCCCTCAATTCCTTAATAAAAGGTCTCCAATCTCAAGCCCTAGTTTCTTCAATATTTACCCACAATTTCCATAAATTTCAAGCCTAATCAATGAAATAACACTATAGGAACGAGTTTTAGGTTCAACAATCTTACCTCAACGAAGCTCCCTTGAATTTCCTCTTCAAAATCTCCCAAAAAGCTCCAAAACCGACTTAAAAATGGTGAAGAAAGGCTAAAAATCGCGAAGTCCATAATTTATATGTTCTGCCCCAGCTAAACCGCTTCTGCGGTACAAATCCCGCACCTGCGATCCCAGGTGCGCTTCTGTGCAAATCACTTAAAAGCCGCGGACCGCATCTGCGATCAGACATCCGCACTTGCGCTATCGCAGGTGCGCTCAAACAGCCACTTCTGCGGTTCCAACTCCCCATGGCCTTTTCCGCATTTGCGACCCTCTGGGCGCTTCTGCGAGCCCGCCCCGGGACCTCAACCAAAAGCACAAACAAGTCACATTCTACTATCCAAACTTATACCAATCTTCGAAACACCTAAAACAACATCGAATCAACCAAATAACATCGGATTCAAGCCTAAGGTTCCAAAAACTTTCGAATTCCGCTTTTGATCAAAAAGTCCATCAAACCTCGTCCGAATGACCTGAAATTTTGCACACACATCACATATGGCACAACGAACCTACTGCAACTTCCGGAATTCCATTTCGGCCCCTAAATCCAAATCTCACCTATCAACCGGAAAATGCCAAAATTCCAATTTCGCCAATTCAAGCCTAAATCTACTCCGGACCTCCAAAACACGTTCCGATCACGCTCCTAAGTCCCAAATCACCTCCCGAAGCTATCCGAATCATTGGAATTCACATCCGAGCCCTTTTTCATATAAGTCAACATCCTGTTGACTTTTCCAACATAAGCTTACTCAAAAGAGACTAAGTGTCTCAAACCTTACCAAAACCTCTTCGAACCCGAGCCAACCAACCCGATAGTACATAATACAGCTAAACAAGACAATAAGAAGCAGAAATGGGGGAAACGAAGCGGTAACACATGAAACGACCGGCCGGGTCGTTACACCTAGGCAGTGGTATAAAAGATTTGATACATTCATGATTCAAAATGCATTTTCTCGAAGTGCATATGATAGTTGTGTGTATTACAAAAAGCTTGAAGACGGTTCTAGTGTATATATGTTGTTATATGTGGATGAAATGCTTATTGCTGCTAAAAGCATGACACATATTACCTGATTGAAGAAGCAACTAGGTGAGGAGTTTGAGATGAAGGATTTAGGTGCTGCAAAGAAGATATTGATGATGGAGATTACTCGTGATAGAAGGGTTGGAAAGCTGATGTTGTCCCAACGGTCTTATATTGAGAAGGTCCTCAAGAGATTTAATATGACAGGTGCTAAATCTGTGTATGTTCCTTTTGCTTCCCATTTCAAGTTGTCTGCAGACATGTCACCAAAAACAGACGAGGAGATGGAGCAGATGTCTAGTGTTCCATATTCGAGTGTTGTAGGTAGCATTATGAATGCTATGGTTTGCACTCGCCCTGACATTTCACATGCTGTTAGTGTTGTGAGTAGATACATGTCGTGTCCTGGTAAAGAACATTGGCAGGAGGTGAAGTGGATCTTGAGATACTTGAAGGGTACTGCAGATATAGGCTTGAGTTTTTACAAAGACAAGTTGAGTGAATCCTTAGTTGGCTATGTCGATTCAGATTATGCAGGGGACTTGGATAAGAGAAGATCTTTGACATGCTATGTTTTTACTCTTTCTGGTAGTGTCATCAGTTGGAAGGCGACTTTGCAGTCTGTCGTTGCTTTATCTACCACAGAAGCTGAGTATATGGCAACTATGGAAGCAGTTAAAGAGGCTATTTGGCTATAAGGCTTGGTAAGTGATCTTGGACTAGCTCAAAAGAAGACACAAGTTTTTTGTGACAGTTAGAGTGTCATTCATCTTACTAAGAATCAGATGTTTCATGAGCGGACGAACCATATTGAAGTCAGACATCACTTTATTCGAGACATTATATCAAAGGGGGTTGTTAATGTGGAGAAAGTGTCTACGCATGATAATCCAGCTGATATGATGACCAAGGAAGTCCCGGCCGACAAGTTTAGGCATTACCTAGACTTGATTGGTGTGTGCAGTACTCAATAGAGCCCTTGCGAGGGTTGAGGGCAAGGTAGAGAGACGTTGTTCTTGTTGATGAAGAGAATTCAAGCCAAGGGGAGGATTTGTTATTTGTGGCTTGAATTAATTCCTTGTATTTTTAGGAAACCCATAGTCCTATAGGTTTAGGAAAACCCATTGTCCTAATAGATTTGGGAAAGGAAAACCTATAGTCCTTGTCAAATTGGGAAACCTTTCTCTTATATGTTTGGGACCTTTTGGGATCTATATATAGGGGCTATAGTTGGGGATTCTAAAGATTGTATCGTGCTTTTCTTCTCATTCATAGTGAAAAACTCTCTCTGCTTTTGCCCCGAGGATTAGGCTTAGCCGAACCTCGTTAAATCCTTGTGTTGATTTTGCTTCTCTATTTGATCTGTGTGTGATTGTGTGCTAGTTAACCCACGATATTCCGCAACACACCCTTATGACCATGTGGCTTCGTCACTAGTACCGCTACAAAAGATGGTAGAACCATGAGATGAAGCACAAACAGTGGCCTAATCCGGGCCAAATCATCCGTGGTGAATCCGTAATTTAGACGTTTTGATTTCTAAATATATCTCTCTGACTCTATCTATGTTTGATTTCGCGCACACATATATATAGGGTTTAACGTCAATGAATTGGATTTTGCCAAACCTGCAAGCCCATGGTTGGACTGTTGCACCCTCATTGGCCCTCTTTTTACGAAGAGAAATGAAATAATCTCAATTTTACAATAAAATCAACCTTGGCCGTGAAGTTTGGAAGTTTCAATCCACGATACAAGCATGGAAACTACGAATAACTATGAATTTTTTGACTTGAAACTAAGATTATGATAAATATTATGTGTGATTTCTGTAAAGAATTAGTAATTGGTTGATCATGTATACAGTATAGCTAGACTAATTATCTTGATTTAATGGGAATCTTGCAGAGTGTTCTAATCGTGTTTACAAAATGTCTATATATTTGCAATATTTTCCATACTTGTAATACTAGTATATTCTTGTTTTTCGCCTTTTGACATGGGTGTTTTCCACGTAAAAATACTTCTGTTCTTTACTTTCGCAACAGTAGTATAAGGAACACATAGAAGAACCATGTCCTTTTATAATCTGTGCACACGAAAAATTGGACATCACACAAATCACTCCCCCCCCCCCCCCCCCCTTGTGTGGCATTGAAGTATAAAACATCATCCTAGTTTTAGATTCTATTACTGCCTGTTGTTTCCTTTGCTTTAGTTATTTTATTTTGGTGGTTGTTGTTAAGACTTTTCCTTCAATAGCTTCTCCACTACTGTATTTCTTTGTCATATATAACTGTTGTGATTATGCTTTCATTGAGCCGATGGTCTATTGGAAACAGCCTCTTTTCCTTCATAAGGTAGTGGCAAGGGCTGCATGCATACTATCCTCCCCAAACCCTACTTGCGCGATTACGCGGCTGGATATGTTATTGTTGTAAAATGTGTATATATTTGCTACTACATTTTTTTGGTAATTAATCACTTTTTATATTAATCACCCGTAAACTGTACAAAACCAGAGCATCGCTTACACAGCTAGCTATCTCATTACAAGCTCTATCTGATATGTTCTACACTCCTCTATACACTCAAAGGAAAATATAGCTATGAACTAAACTTTGAAGACTAGCAGTTGCTCTAATATTACACGTGTATGCTATCTCACGAGCTATGTTATTCCAATCACATGTTCTTTTCTCAAAAATTCTTAGATTCCTCTCAATCCAAGTAGCGTGTGCTATTTCTGCATATACCAGTCGAAATATTTTTGCTCTTGTGGTCTTGCCTTTAGCATGCTTCACACTCCACTCCAAATGCTGCTCCCAGTTCTGTGCCCTGGTATAATCATGGTGCATCCACTGCATAAGCTTCATCCATAGATTCCTAGTATACTCACACTTGACAAACAGATGATCTCTATCTTCCTCATGGTTGTGGCATCGAATGCATTGTGTATCCACTGTCAAACCCCACTTGGCCAATCTATCTGTGGTTGGGAGTCTTCCATGTAATAACAGTCCACATAGTATACTGTGCTTTTGGCCTCACACAATTCTGAAACATTAGACATTTCCATTGCACTCGAGTTTGTTGCCCCAGCAGCTGAAGATATATGTGCCTAGTTACACTAGTGTCCTGTTTGTTCCTCTATACCAGACTACAATCAGTTCTAGCATTGAAGATCTGTCTGATCATCCAGCAGGCTTGCTTGGGAGCTGGCATTTGCATGAATTGCTGCCCTTTGATATAGTAGGAGTGGATCCACTTGATCCACAGTCTGTCTTGCTTAGCTTCCACATCCCAGCACACTTTAGAGATAGCAGCTCTATTCCATAGATGGATGTTCACCAGGTTTAGGCCTCCACAAGATTTAGGGGAACACATCTTTTCCCAGGATATCAATGCCTTCTTAGTTATGGTATTGGTTGCAGACCATATATAGCTTCGACAATATGCATCAATAGTTTTCAACACCTTAACAGGTAGAGGTAGCAGCCGGGCCCAGTATGCTTGTATTCCAAAAATTACACTTTGTACTAGTTGTACTCTTCCTGCATAAGATAGTTTCTTAGCTGTCTATGAAGATATCCTTGCTACTATTTTCTGGATGAGTGGCTGCCATTGAATCATTGTTATCATTTTTGTTGACAGGGGAATGCCTAAATATTTAAAAGGCATCTCCCCTTGTCCATATCCCAGAAGATGCAGAATTTTAGCTCTTTCATCTCTTGATACTCCTCCAAAGTACACTGAACTTTTCCCCATATTTGCTTGCAATCTTGAGGCTTGAGCAAACTGTTTGAAGCATCTATGCATGGCCTTCACTGATGATAGGTCTCCTCTTGCAAATAGCAATAAGTCATCAGCAAAGCTTAAGTGTGTGATACCAAGTCTTGCGCATTTTGGATGGTATCTGAAATCTTTTTCCCCTTTTAGGCCATGTAGACTCCTACTTAGATATTCCATTACAATAGCAAATAGAAAGGGGGACATAGGATCCCCTTGCCTAAGTCCTTTCTTTGCATCAAAAGGGGTAGTAGTCTCTCCATTAATCAAGATGGTGTAATTGACTGTCTTGACACACTCCATAATCCAGCTAGTGAATTGAGTAGGAAAACCCAAATTCTCCATTACCTGCTCCAAGTAGATCCACTCCACTGAATCATAGGCTTTCTGTAAGTCTATCTTAATCATACACCTATCTGAGATGTGCTTCCTTGTATAAGCTTTAACCAATTCATGTGCCATTATGATGTTGTCTGCAATTCTCCTCCCAGGTATAAATCTTGCCTGATTTTCACTAATGATGCTAGCAATAACCTTCTGTAATCTTGCTGCTAATACCTTAGAAATCATCTTATAGAGCAAGGTACAACAAGCAATTGGTCTAAAATCTTTCACAGTGACTGGTTTGGTTTGGTATTAGTGTAAGTGTAGTGCAATTAAGAGCCTTATACAATTTACCAGCAGTAAAGAATTCTTTGACAGCTGCACAAATCTCTTCCTTGGTAATAGGCCATGTTTTCTTGAAAAAGTATGCATTGAAACCATCTACTCCTGGTGATTTGTCATCCCCAATACTCTGCAATCCTTCAAAGATCTCTTGATTTGAGATTTCTGCAATTGGCTGACTTCTTTGTTGTTGGAATAACATAGGTCCTTGCTTCATGATCTCCCTGTTTATGGCAGGTAGATTTAGTGTTGCAGTTCCCATCAGTGATTTGTAGAACTCCATAATTTCATGTTTGATCATGTCAGCATCATTCAACTGCTGCCCATCTAGAGATGTGAGTTCCTTAATCTGCTTCCTTTGATTCCTTTCCTTTAGCATAGCAGAAAAGTACTTAGAGTTAGAGTCCCCAAGCTTAATCCACCTTGCTCTTGATTTTTGTTTTAGGACACTTTCCTCTATAAGAGACCATTTCTCCAGCTGGTGGAGGGCAGTTCTCTCCTGTTCCAGAAGGCCATCATTATAATTTGTGATAATCTTCTCTTGTATATCTTGAAGTTCACCACGAGCCCTGTTAATCTTGACAGTAATAGATCTAAATTCCTGATTGTTTAAAGTCTTAAATTTAGTTTTCAAGGCTTTCAACTTCAACCATATGTTCATTATTTTCTAACTTGTCACATTCTGTTCCCATACTTCCTGCACTACTTGTAAGAAACTACCATGATCTGCCCATACATTTAGGAATCTGAATGAAATTTTGGCAGGCATTGTATTCATGGAAATTGAAAGAAGCATAGGTGAGTGATATGATATTTGGGGCAAATCATATTCATTTTGTACCTGTCCCCACTGCATCATCCATTCAAAGTTTCCAAACATCCTATCAATTCTGCTACTGATTCTGTCAGGTCCATCTTGTTTGTTTGACCAACTGTAGTAATCACCCTTCCATATCAATTCATTCAACTGCAGAGTCTGGATGCAGCTGGCAAAGTCTTGAGTTTCAGCATATGTTATAGGATTACCCATTAGTCTATCTTGAGAATATAGCACTGCATTGAAGTCTCCTCCAATTAGCCAAGGAGTGGTTATGTTTGCAGCCAGGATATGAATGTCTGACCATAGTGCTCTCCTTTTCTCAATTGTATTGTATCCATAGACTACTGTTATTAAGCAGTCTATCTTCCCTAAGTTGTCTGTAAGTTGATAATGAACATATTGAGCCCCAGCCTTTATTAACTTCACACTATACCATCTTGGATCCCATAGCACCCACACCCTACCATTCTGAGCATATTGATAGTTGTTTATCCCTTCCCAATCAGGAGTTATAGCTTTGGTGATTCTCTTGAAATTTTGCTCTTTCACTCTTGTTTCCATTAGGCCATCTAACTTAACATTTCTATTTCTGATATAGTTAGCCAATTCCTTCTGTTTATACCTCTTATTGACTCCCCTCACATTCCAGAATAGCCAATTAGTCAGCATGTTAAATGTCCACTTCCCCTATCAAGGGGTAAATGTTGCACATCCCCTGTCCCACATGGTAATACCTCAAAAGGATTTCTCAATTTCACAGCAGACAACAAAGGAAAACTTGCCAAATTAAACTCAGGGCTGCTTTCCACTTGCTTCCCTCGATTGTTGTTACTCAGCATAACCTTAGTTGGACTACTTGGAGGCATAGTCTCAGGTTGTCCTTGGCTATTTTCCGGCCTGGAGCTTGTTGAAATGTTTGGCATTTGCTGGACCTCTGATGTCTGTTGTTGTCTCTGTTGGTCAGCTGGCATAGCTTGTACAGGTGGAGTATCATTTTGCTGTTCCTTGCCTTTAGTTCTCCATTCCATAGTCACTTTCTTAGGTTCCCTTGCTTTCCCCTTTTGGTTAATCTGTTGCTTAATATCCTGCTTATTACCAGCACCATGAGGAGCACATGAGTGGCCAACCTTTTGACAATTCTCACAAAATTTAGGTTTCCACTCATAGTAAACATCTTGCAGGAATTGTTTCTCCTTTGGATCTCTAACCCAGACTTCACCACGTAATGGTTTAGTCACATTAACCTCTATCAACATTTTGGCATATGAGATTCTAGTTTTCTTAGTTGTGCATTCATCAACAAAAATAGGAGTTCCAATTGCACTTGCTATTCTACTCAATAAGTTCACTCCCCAGCAATTCAAAGGTAATTTTGGAAAATTAACCCACAGGGGAATTTCCGTGGGAAATTTCTCTTTAAAATCAAAGTCTGAGGTCCAAGGCTTCAAAATTATAGGTCTATTATTAATGGTATAAGGTCCAGAATAGTAGATCTCTTTCATATCTGCCTCCGAATGAAATCTGATGATATAGTATCCTTCCTCATGGAGAAATACATCTGGTTCCCTCACACCTGCCCAATTAACATTTATATATCTCTTCATAGTATTATATCCCGTCGTATCACCTAAAATGTAAGCAATTAATGCACATTTCCACTTCTCAGTCTCAGATTCAACCTCTTCTTTGTCCAATTGGACAACTACGTGGCCATCGACAATTTCCGGAGGGATATATGATAGGGACATACCATTTGCTACAGATCTGTTCTTCTGAAATAGGTTAGCCCATGGTTTAGGGTCTACAACTTTTGTCGCCAAAGCAGGAATCGTCGCTCCTTGATCTGCCTTCTCAATTGTTACTGTTGCATTAGTTACTGTAGCATGCAGAGCTCGATCCTGTGTTTTTTCCTCCAATTGCACTTTTGATGCAGTTGCTGGGGGTGTTGTGAGATCCAGCTTCTTTGAAACTCCTGAGCTAGATGCTCCCCCCAGTGTTCTTCTATTGAGCTCTAGTATTCGAATTTTGTTCCAGATCTGGTGTTTGTAGAGCATTCTCCTTTCCTGTTGTTTTGCTTTGTGAGTTAGTAGATCTTTCTATGCTAGTAATGACGATATTTTTTGGCCTTCCTCGTCCTCTTCCCCTCCCTCTTGTCATGGATGACCAGTTTCAGCGCATGTTAACTAACGTGAGCTGAGAGCACTTAGAGAGTGAGTGATTCATATGCTTAATAGATCTTTGGAACTTTATTTGCTACTACATTATAAAGTGCAAAGTAGCATAGTAAGCCACCCAGCTTTTTATAATATATATATTTGCCAGCTGGTTCATTTATAAAATTTACGCGATTCATTGAAATTTTAATTGAGAACTGATTTAATACTTTAATTGTGGCCAAAGATGTCTCCACCAAATCAGTAAGATTCACAGCTTTTCTCCATCAACACCATTACCGATTGTAGTATTAAGGACAAAAAGAGATGACGTAATAATATACAATGGTGGGGTCTTAAACTAATTATTTATATATTTTTTAAACTAATAGTAGTATTTTATATGTTCCTTAAATTAATTAAGGACTCTGTTCCAACTTGCTTGCTTCAAGCCACCATATTTAATATTTTCATTCAACTTTTCATTCCATTCATTTTTCTTGATTCATAATTTTCTAGCACAATGGCACTCATATTCTCTTCATGTAAGATTGTGAGAAAAACAAAAAATTATGAATAAATAAACCAAAGAACAAAAATATAGAGCTGACTTGATTTGAAAACTTTAAAATATTTATTTATGATTATAGTGATGGAAATGAGTTGTCAATTTGTCATCTGATATATTTGGAGAAATATGGAAATGCACCTAACTATGGTTGCTTAGTCAGTAAGGGCACCTTTTGCAAGTGTAAGTAATTTATGAAAGTGATTCAGATAAAGATTTGCAAAATTGAATATATTGAAACAAAATTAAGGGGATTTTCTATTCTCACTTATTAGTCACTTTAGAATTGGGTCGTTAACTGATGTTCACGACAACTTAAGACGGATAAGAAGAAACCACCTAGTATTTTTTTTTTTCTGAGATTTAAATTTGAGACGTCATCGTTTTTAACTCACTTTATTAAACACTAAGCCACTCTGTTGGATGCTATATCTCACCTCTAATTTCATCTACATATGAATAAAAAAAATTAACAGGAAATTTTTTTTAAGAACAAAAAAGAAAAAGAACCAGAAGAATGAGAATAGTAAAAGCCCCATTTAATATTTCTGGTCCAACTCCAAATTAAATCCCATTGGTTCGATTAAAGAGTAAAAATAGCATGGACTAGCTTGTTTTCGGACTGGTCATTCAAAAATAGCCAGCGTTTGCAAAGTCATTGAAAAATAACCACTATTTTGCTGCAACACGGAAAGTTCCAGAATAATATACTGGAGATCGGTGCACGTGTGTATGAACTTCCAACATATTTATACTGGAACTCCAACACGCGAAAAGTTCCAGTATAATATACTGGAGATTGGAGCACCTGTGTATAAACTTCCAACATATTATGCTGGACCAATATATTATACTGGAACTTCAGTATACTATGCTGGAAGTCCAGTATATTACTCCAATATAATATACTGGAGTTCCAATATACTTATGCTGGAATATACTGGAGTTCCAGTATATTATCTTAGAATTTCAGTATATTATACTGGAGTATTTTCCGAATTTTGAACAGAGTACTTTTCGGATTTTGAACCGTGTTTTCGTTCAGATTTATCTTTACATAAAAAATGGCTAAAATTTCGATTACTTTTGAAACTGTGGCTATTTTTGAATGACCACTTGTAAATCTGGCTATTTCTGAATTTCACCCGATTAAAGATGACTAGAACATAGTTTTTACTAGACAACAGTTAAATATCGATGAGCTTGGGAGCTTTGACAATTTACCAATTTGGGTTATTAATAATTAAATCTTAATCTTATTAAGTACTCTTCGTAATCATCATGAGTTAGTTTACTTATAGAAAAATGAAATATATTGTCTTATCTTCCCGATTTTGGAGAAATTTATCTTTAAGATATTCGTTTGAAAATGGATAAAGTCGTTAGGATTAGGATTTGACTAAAAATTGGCATAAAATAATCAAATTATTATGGTGGATAGTGATCCTATCAGAGAAAGTTTATTCATTTTTTTTCTTTTTCTAATCATTTTTTCTATAAAGAAACTGAAGTAGCATAGCTTCGTGGATGTTGCACCACATGTTCTAATAGTTGTACGTTTTTTCTGAAAACCATGTCACAAGAATCAAGATTATGGGTTTTGTATTATTTTAGTATTTCCTAAGTATAGAAGTAGGGAAGGATGCAATATGATCACATCCACAAGCCAACTTTGTGGCCAGATGTGGAGCTAGCACGCGGGATACGGGTTCAGCCGAACTCAGTAATAATTTTAGTTTAAATTCTGTATTTGTCTAAAAAATTTATTAAATATGTACAAATTAATTAATTTAGGACCCAATAACTTAAAAGAACTTCAATCTTGAACCATAAATTTTAAATCTTGATTCATGTTTGACCAAAAAATATAGATCTTGGTTCAAATAATTAAATTTATGTAAATAAGGGTTAATCTTAGCTAACAATAATATCCTTAGATGAAGTTCTTAAAGAAGCGATAAATACTGCGTGGACCTGGTTGGACAGTAGCAGTAATGTACAATAAATGCTCTAGTAATAATATAGCATTCAATGATAATGAATAACAATAAATGGCATTTAAGTAAATAAGATGAATGGATCACCCAAAAAAGGATGTTGTTTCTGACGGTGATAAATGACAGATAATCTCTTGGATCTGTAGATTATTCTTGTAGGAGGAAAAGCACAAACAAGAGTCTTAGAAAAGGTGATGTTTGTATTGTAGTAAATGAGATCTGATTCTTGTTCTCAAGTCAAACAGTAGCGAAGTCAGAAATTTCTTTAAGGGTGTATAAACTTGAAATAAGTAAAAAACTATTCCGACAAAAGGTGTTCAATATATGCTATGTATCTCTAAAATCTAATATTTTAATATATACGCAATGTCATTTTCCGACAAAGGGTGGCCAATTGACCACCCTAAGCAAAATATGGCTTCGCCCATGAAGTCAAAGTGTGTATTTTTACAAATTGGTATCACATGCCCCTATCATTGTCTCTTTTTTCTATTTATATGAGACATGTTCCTAAGAAACCCTAATAGTACAAGTGCAGAGAATATCCATTAGAATATTCTCTTTAATATCTTATCTTGAAAACTAGCCGTTACAGCTCTATCAACGGTACTTGACCTTGGCCCTTGACCCCGACCTGTTGGCATTTCGTCTATGGCTCTCGTTGACTCTTCGACCACAGACTTTGCTGCTTCTTGGGTCATCTCGACAAACGACTTGAGAACTCTTCCCTTAGTATTATTATTACTTAAATATTCTAAAAGACAAATTTTGACCCATACAATTTCGTATATGCACGTGGCAGTCTTCATGATGTAAGAGATAATGGATTACACACAGCATCTAGTGATACATTTGGCTAATTCAGATCATCTCTCAAGATTTATTTAAATAATGAATTATAGGCTATTGGTACAAGTGAGTTAACACGACACTGCTTTTACATAGGAGAAAAAAGTATTTAATAGTATCACATTAGTGGAAGATACGTTAGAAATCCAAATCATTAAAAAAGAGAAGGTAAACAGAACAATAAATGCAAGTTGACCTAGAAAGTAGAAAGTAATATGCATTTTTCACTGAAAGTGAATGTGAAGGAGTACATATCATGTGCTTATGCCCTTTTATTTTATTTTTAAGTATCCTTGTAATTTATTTTTATATTTAATTTGGAGTTCTTAACTAGCTCGGGAAAGTACTATCTCTCTCAAGATTTTACAAAAGAACGTTGTATTAGCGTAAAATAACTGAATCTGAAGTTAATTGTGGTCGGTAGTATGAATCGTCACCTCTCATTTCCCTTTGTTTGGATAACATATTCTGAATTATAATTTTTCATAAATTGATTAATTTTATGCTAATCGCAAACCTATAATAACTCTCATTTTATCCATTTTTGGGATTAAAAAATAAGCCACAGTTTCTTATATTAGTAGCATGAAAATTTCATCAACCTTGAAATGTTTTCTTGTCACCCATTATTGGTAGTGACCTTTATTTTAATAATTTATCTTCCTAATTTTAAAAAAGGAGGAACATATGAAGCAAAAGATTGGCCCTTAGTTTGAAGTGTACCTACAATTTTAATAAGATGGTATTAAATTAATGTAAGCTTTGTCTTAGTGTTAAAAATACTACTTAGGAAGAGAACAATTTTCTGACGTCATTTAGATTTTAAAAAATGAGAAATAAAAATGCTACTATTTTAATATTCACATTTGGCCCCAATGCAACATCAGCAAATCCCACTAGAATACATCTAGCTTTTTCCTTTCCTTTTCATGTCATTTCCACTGTGCCAAACAATCTCTTAATAGTCAGCTGTATCACCAAGAATTGTGGCAGATTGCTTGAAATGTTTCTGTTTACGGGGCACGAGTTCGAGTCGTAGAATCAGCTATTAATACTTGTATTAGTATAGGTTATCTACATTACATCCCCTTATAGTGCGGCTCTCCCTCGGACCTAGAGGTGGCAAAATGGTTAAAAGAAAACAGTTATCCACCCATATTATCCATCAAAAAATAGGTTGGATAATGAACCATTTAAAAACGGGTCGAATATGGATAAAGAACCATATTATCCACTTAGAAAATGGTTAACCAATGGATAACTAATGTGTTTAACTTTTACATTTGTAAAGCCTCAAATTGGAGTTCCTCAAGTTTGGAAGAGAAGGAATTGTCTCATAAGTGATCATATTTAAGAAGTCATGGATAATATAGATTTCCATATTATCCGCCGGATAAAATCGTTTTTTATCCGTCTCAAATACAGATCGGGTCGGATAATTTATCAGTTTTTTTAAATTATCCGTTTTGAGCCGCTCATATCCGGCT